GCCTAAAGAAATTTTTACTTTTTAAGAAGCAATATATTGAGAAATTTTTTTTTTTTGTATCTTGTCCGTTCTAGCCCTGAAGATCTGCAAAGTCGGGTCGAAACGTCAGCTTTTAATAAAATAGTTTTACCACTATTTAGCCTATTTATAACCGCCACCCCGGACCATCTCCTTCCTTGATATTTATTGTTGTATGCTGCATTTTAAAAAAGTCAATTTCTGTAATTTCATTCGGCAATATGAACAATAGTTATGAAAAATATTATTAACTGATACATGAGGTCGCTCACACCGCCCTGCTGGGCAGCAAGGCCGCGGGGAAAGGAGCTCCGTCGTCCTTGTGATCGGTGAGCGTCAGCTGTCATCACTGCCTCCTGCTCTGCTTCGTATAAAAAACTTTTTTTTGGCGTTTGGAGGGGGCGAAGGGGATGTACATGCTAATGGGGGGAGGGGTGTTGATTGTGCCTGATATATAGTTTCTTCAGAGGCCTCAGTTAAAACGCTGATATATGGTGAATCATTCAACTCAACAGAGCGAGAAAGTCTTTCATTCACTGGTCCACTTCAGAAATATAATGATTCACTGGTAAACGGAAGAGGAGAGGGATAATTGGTTTGAGCAAGTTACTTATATTTTTAATTTCGTCTTCTACAAATAGATAATTGATAATAAAACTATTTGAATTAGAAGGTGAGATCGTAACTAGTTTTCCAACATTCTTCAAATATATTCTACTAAAATTATTTACAATTCATTAGAAAACGTTTTTTAAAATAATTGGATAAGAAAATCACAAGCAATGTTTTATGGGAAAGGTTAAAAAGATGAACTTAATGGTTAGCAGGGGTGCCCATCGCGCCCAAGGTCGATGGCGCATGAATCCCTCCCCCTCCCCTTCTCCCAAGATATTTTATTGCCCTAATCTTCATAAAAACAGTGCAAGCTAAAGTAGAATTTTAAAAATAATAAGTCATATGCTACGACACTTTCAGCGGTCTGTTCTTTGCTTTCCTCTTTTTTTTCCCCTGATTTGAAACTTTCATTTAGAAAATTCATAACCTTATCTTATTATGTTTTTCTAATAAATGATATATCATCATAGACCAACTATTATAACTAAAACTTATAGGAGAAAATTATTTGTATACAATTAAAAACGCACAAGTGTAACGATCAGTTTCTTGCAGGCAAAGATGTGAACCGGTAGTTTCCCTTGAGAATTCATAAACTCGTAAGGTTGTCCTCATACTTTTCTGTAACTTATTGTAAAATATTTTATAGATACCATGAAATAGATATATCAGGGTTTTATAACCAGATAAGATCTCCTCAGTAAAGCTAAAGATCTTTATTGTCAAATAAAGGAGGTTCAATGACTAAGAAATGAAGAAAAGCCAAATCCTTCCAGTTCTGAAACTCAAACGACTTCAATAATTTAAGTTTATTTTCTCTTAAAAATTGTTTGAAAAGATTTTTAAATTTTTATATTCTTTATTTGTAGAATCCATGATAGGCACAAGAACATGATGCAATATCCTTGTATATTTGTCTATAATTATAGGGAATTACCTTCTGTCGTGAAAAAATACAAACCCCACCCTATGACAGCAACTGTTATACAACTACCTTGTCACGTCAATCATTGCATGATAATTGCATATAAAATAAACTTGCATTTTTTTTTTCTTTATTTTTCTGTTGGCATTATAGAACTTTTCTCTTAACCAGCCTTCTCCATCTCTGCCTATCTTGGGCTGTTATCTGCATGCAGCTCTACTGCATCTTTGTTTAAATGCACTTATCTATTCATCTAGCCCTTACACGTGGTCTTTTGCCAACTATTGAGCCATTCATTGTTGTGCAGAGGCTGATGGATTCCTCGGAGTAGTATCGTACCCCGCTCATCATAACCTCCTTGCTTGATATCATGAGCTATTGAGTGACCAGCTTCTATAAGCAGCTTTTGATTAGTCTTTTTCCTCCATTCTTTAGTATTCTGATCCTACATAGCTCTGGTTACGAGCGGAGTATTTTTCTCTCAAAGCTTTTAATACTCCGTGCTGGGTGTCTTTATGCCTTCATCATAGCATTGCACACCCTTAATTTACGATTGCTGGAGATTTTTTCGAAATTTCAATACCTTTGCTCTGCAATGCAATACAATGAAAAGCTCTGTTTGCGCTTGTTATACGCTGGTCTATTTCGTACTGCTGGTCATTTATTAAGTTCATTGTGGAAACTGAATAATATTATAACCTTAATTTAATCAGTTTAAGATAAAAATTTCTTCTGGAAAAATTGTAAGAAACCATTCTTTTTTTAAAGAGATTCGAGAATAAATGAAACCGTGGTGGTATTGTCCGTACAGAGAAGATAAATTAATAGTAATATCGTTTTGAATCATTCGGATAATTCTGATATTTGTTCAATATCGAAACTTCTCTTTTCTTGTGGTCAACCACTAAAATGTATGCTTCGAATGATACAGCATTACTCGATATTTATATTTCATTGCTAGATAGATACGATAATATTGGCAAACTGGATGTATAAAGTCCTGTTATCATTGGCCTTGAATGAGACAGAGTGTGTTGTTATTAATTAAATCATAGGTGAATGAACACTGTACACTCCTCTTTTAAGCAATTTGATAGTGAAATAAAATGGTTTGTTAGTGCTTTTTGCGGGATATTTGGGTTAAAAATTAATAAGAGGTTCCAATAGTGTATCAACTCCTCGAAACGTTCACAAATAATTTGTTAAACAATTCAATGATATATTGTCCAATTAGAGAAGATTGTCGTTCAATTGCATTTAAACGTGCCGAAATTTTACATAAAACGTCTAATTTTATATGAGGAATAAGTTCCCTCATCTAAATTCTTTTGACCTCCATTCATACGGACCATGGTTTCCATGCCTCAGCGACAGGCCATCCATTGCTCCATAGCGGACCTCCCTCTAGTACCAATCTGGTAGAATCTTCCCACCGATTTGCTCGGGATCAAGAAAAATCAAAAATTGTTCTAGATCAATGGATTATGACTGTTTGGATTCGCTAGATGTACTAAGACATATAGTTCTTTCCCTGAAGCACAACATCCATGGGTCAAACTTCTAGGAGGCTACTGACATTCTAGAATACCACATCGCAATGATCAATCAAATAGGCGGTGTGGGGTTCATCACTCCTACGCCCGGATGTTGTGAGTTGCATCTTTGCTGGCCTCACAAATCCGGGGAGAGGGATTTAGGGCAACGTGGCTTTCCTAAGAAGATGAACACAATCTAAGAATTGTTTGACACAGCTTAATTTTAATAATTTATTTCAAGCGTCTTAGGCTGTTAGGCCAATCTAGCCAATATATCAATATAATATATTATATTATTAATGTCAACATAATTTATACAGTCAAGATATTGACGAAATTGAAGACTGACCATGGCAAGGTTCTTTGTGTGTCTTTCTCTGCGTTTCCAAATTATTAGTTTACTTTTGGTAGATAAAACTAATGCAAGTTTGCTCAGATGAATCAAAGTCTAAAAGCTTTGACTTCTGAGCTCAATTAATGAATTCCAAGCAATCTTGAGGGTACAAAATGGTTCTATAAAATTAAAAAAATAATATCAAATTGAAATCAGTCGTTTCGTTTATAAAAGTAGGACTACCTCCAGCCTCCAGTAGTAATACGACTTCATCATCAAGAGTTTTTGGATAAGCAAGACGGTTATACCAATAAACCCAGAGTGGAAAAAGCATGGAAAGACACATGATTTAAAATGGATTCTTCATTACCTAAAGTTGAGGAGACCATTTTTAAGACACTCTTGATTGATATTTTAAACTGATTGTGATGATTAATATACCCAAGTAATGTAAAGTTGCTACTTATAATTGATTTAATAATAATTACAATTAGTCTTACAAACTGTTTGAATAAGCATGAAAAGTAACTAATTCTAGGCAATTTAGGAATTATATATATTACATGTAAAAAAAAAAAAAGTATTGATAGATATTGAGATGATCGAATGCAAATATTTAGTGCCATGCTGTTAACCACAAAGAAATAGGAAGAATATTGATAAGCTCGTAATATATACATATTCAAAATGCAAAGCAAGGATATAAAACCTGCTATTTGTTAATGGAAATGCTTGCCTTTATTAGTGCAATAGAAGGGAGCAGTGTTCGAATTCCAGACCCAATCAGGTAAGAAACAAAAAACCTAGAGTAGGCGTTTAGATTCAAGATATTCGATGGGAGTTAGAAAATACATATTCCTTAATGGATTAATTATTAAATAATAGTTTTATATTTATCTTTCATGAGGCCTCAGTAATTGTTAAATCTAACAAAGAACACATTTGGAGATGTATTTCTTTATTTATATATTAAAGTAAACATAAATAATGTACTAACTTAAATTAAATACTGAAACATAACTTCAAGCAATAAAATATCTTATTGAAATATTCTTCATGATCTTGGATGGATTGGTGTATATCGCCCGTAATAAATATTTCAGGAATAACAAAATAAATGGTATAAATTTAAATAATGAATTCCTTTCTACATTTATTTATGTTTTTAAATAGTACGCAGAGATTTGTTGATGCCCAAGTCTCACAAAGAGAAGGGTACTTAAATAAAAGGTCAAGTGTATCGTTCTGAAAAACTAAAATTGAAGTTTTTAACAAGAAAAATCCAATTTCACTGTTTTTAAACATGCTAATACATGCAGACTACACTGAATATATACTTTATAAACATCGAGAATATTACATTATGCAAATTATGGAGCTAAATAACTCAACAATTAATTATCATGCAAATGGCCAACTAGAACGGAGAGACTTCAATTCCTCCTACACCTCATATACGTGAACTAAAACCCCAACGTGGGGTCTGATTTGAAGCCCGGTATGTGGAATAGAATCCAAGAAGAGGTGTTCCATGGAGGCAATTAGTAAAAAAAATCAGTTTAAATAGACTCACCAAGTTGAAGATTGGGGCTGTTAATTTTGAAGGAGGTACACTTTTGTCGAGCACAAAACTAGTAATATAACAGTTGTATCAACTTCAAAATGTAGAAAAATAACACACAACAAACCACTACCGACAGTTGGCTTCACACTGAGGAACAACAAAAACTCCAGGGACCGGTTTGAGACCCCAGTGTGGCCAACACAACGCTGCGAATGTCCCTCACTGCCTCGGTTCAAGAATCAAACAAAAAAAAAAAAGTAATAATAATACTTTCTAAGATCTAAAGTTAATAACAAAATATAAAAGTACCAATCTAAAACGTATAAAATTAAAAATTAAATATTAGTTTTTCACGTATTCACCTAATGGTATTTTTCGACATTTTTTTTCTTCTTCTTTAAAGTAACTTTCAAATAAAGTTTAAAAATTTCTAAATGTCTTATCCACATTGAAAAGTTCCAAGGAGAAATAAGAGCGACAGTTATTTCCTTATTTGAAAATTATTTAATAGACTGCAATAAGTCTCATGAAAAAACTGATAAATTATATGTTTCAAAAATTGAAATAAAAAAAAAAAAAATAAGCTACAAATATTAAACAACAATTAATTGAATGAAAAAAGTATGGTAAGTTATAAAATACAATATTAAACATTATGTAATAGTAATGTTAGCAATATCGAAACACGTCTTCGTATTTTCAATGTTAAAAAAAAAATTTATATCAGAAATTAATAAAAATTGACTTAATACATGTAAAAAAAACATCTTAAAATCTTTCTTTTCTATAACAATCCCAGCGTTATTTAATTATTCTTAAATTGAAAATGATAAAAGAATAACAATGATTGACTGTATTTGCAATATAAATATTTTTTTAAAGATTTCTTTGGTCGGCTATTATGTATAAACAATTATTAAAAAAAATATACTTTTGGTTTTTTTCTCTTCGTTGAAAAACTTCCAAAAAAAATTGATCTAATTTATATAAGAGCGATTAGTAAAATCTAGGTCAAAACAACGAAATTCCATAGAAGGGAACTTGATTAATCCGATCTAAACGTGTTAGAGTGGGAAATTAATATATATAAAATTACAGTTAAACATAATTTAACGTAAAGAGATATTTTCAACATTAATTCCAAACAAAAAATTAGGATTTATTTAATTTAAAAATGTGAGAATTTTTTCTATAGCGCCATACAAACCATCTTATTATCTCTCGTCATCACATCTTCGGACAACTAATCTTGAAATGCAATGTTTCGTTATTATTACATTGTTACAAGTATACGGAGTGTTACAGAGCTAAGTGGCCAAACTGACAAAATTAACTAACTACCTCAAAACAAGAAAAAAAATTTCCTCTGAAGGTATGTCCGCAAACGTTGTTTAGGAGGTATTCACACCTACAGATTTTCGTTGTTATGAATTATGTACTATATATATGAAATAAATAAAGTCTATTTATTTGTTCTAACTACTTTAATAACTAAATGTAAACATTAACATTCATATTAAATGTTATTCAAAGTGATTTCCTTGAGCATTAAAACAAGCTCGGCATATTTCTTCAACAGTAATAGTGGCAGAACGGCACTGGATATGTGTTATTGTTTCATAAGATTCAATTATCCTTCTTCGTCATTAAGAAATTAAGGTCATTGACCGGACTTGCATAGACTTTTTGTTAAATGCCAAACCAAACAAAAAAATCCAGTAGTGTCAGGTCTGGAGAGCGTGCAGGCCAAGCCACTGGTGCTCCACGGCCAATCCATTGATTGGGATATTGGATATGGGATATGAATGAGCAAATCCGGTCTTAATTCCTTACTAAGAAGGATGATTGAATCTTGTGAAACAATGATATGTAGAACAGTCGATAAGCTTCCTTCAATAATTCATTATATTTATCGCTGCAGAATGATGTATTGCACTTATAAAACATAACTAATCGACCACTGAACTTGGGTTTTTTTTTGGGAGGACAGGTTCAACTTCCATTTTAAGGCTCAAGTACATCGAACGCAATCTGATATCTGTTCGTAGGACTCACAATTTGTGTGGCTGTATAATGCAATATGTTATAATATGATCAAATCGTCAATCGTCCGTACACATGATGGAAATAGAATTTTTTTTTTTTTGAAACAACACAAAAATAAAGCCCGGCCAATCCCTATCTCTGCGTCAAGGAAAAATATAATTTGATACCACTTCGCAATTAAATTCGCCGAAGTGTTTCTCGAATTAATAAAATATAGTAAAACCTATTATGTGAATTTGTGGGATAGAGAGTTGGCAGTATTCCGAGTTCAATACATGAACCTCGGTACGTGAAATTTTCGTTTTTAAATTAAAGCTCTGTCAAAAATAAATAAATATCAAGAATAATTTAACTTAAAAACTTAAATTTTGCTTACATATGCAGGTGGATGCAGCTGTAATTTATCTTATAATTGGTAATTGGTTGACTGTCGTGGATAATGAAGAGAAGAATAGTTGGGGTGGTCAGTCAAAAAGGAGGCAAAAATAAATGATAATATTTATCCGGCTTGGGGATTGAAGCCTTGGCCCTACATAAACCATGATGATCCTGGCAGAGCATTGAACCATGACGAGATGATCTCAACTTAGCAGGTGCAGCGATGACATCTACCAACTAGACCACTTCATATACAATAGATAAGTTTTATTCCCAACAATAAATTTACCAATGTGATAATAAATATTACAATCTGTCTCAAAGACATTTATAATAGTGTTCAGAGATCACATTCACACTCTATGTACAATAAATAAAATAAATTATATAGAAAAATAATTTATACACAATAAATAAGAATAAAATAAACTAAAAATAAATAATTAAAAAGAACACATACATACCTATAATTCTTTATTAAATATTGAAATAAAATTATGTTTTTAAGTAAAAACTATTTTAATTCTGCCACCTATTTATATCATGACGATTACAGGTAATGTATGGTAATTCGAAAGCATGATAAACAGAAACTAGCCTTTGAGAAAAGAAATCCAATTCATTAATTCTGGACCAATCAATAGATTATAGATCCAAATTTATTTTACAATTTTTTTATTAAAAATTTCTGGGTAATTATCATCAATAATTACCTGGTGGCATCCCAAATAAATTTCAACACCCCAAAACATAACAATTTTTGTGTTATCTCTTTTTTGGGGATAAGACAGCAAATGTTTGGATGAAAATATTACATTACTCCATGATGGAATCTGAAGGTATAAAGGGTTATTATAATTGAAAATATTTTCCATCATTAGCAAAATGCCTTAGATGACTTTTTTTATTTATTGAATAATATAACAATCTGTAACATGGACATTGGTTATAGGGAGATAAGATAACATTCACACAATATGTACCAAAAAATGAAAATAAACAGAAGGAAATTAACTAAATAATAGTCAAAAAGTATATACAATAGATAAAATGAAATAACTTAAAGATAAATAAATTATAAAAAAACACATACATACCTATATACACTACTTACAATCAGGCGAGGCAGGCTTGCCCCTTCAACTATGGAGGGAAAAGCAGGACTCCAGGAGATCCTTACTAATTTGTTTATCAATGCCAAAATGAAAATTCACCAGTACCTTAAAAAAAAAGTTTTTTTCGTCTTTTAACCACCGTGTACCACGAGCAGAGAGCGTAGATCACCCCGACAGATTCTGTGAGCAAGACCCTTTTAACTTTTAAATGGGTGTGCTCAGACCAGCAAGACCTTGGTCTCCCATACTAAGAAAAAAGATAACGAAGAGATAACAAACAAATATTCGATAGTACCACACATCCATTTAACTAGGAGATATGCCTATCCACAGGGATGTTTTCACTAATTGTCTTTAGTAGGTGAGAAAACAAAACAAAAAATCTTTGCATGTTTCCGTATTTGATTTATGCAATAAACTATTTAGACCAGTAAACTGTTATTTCGGTTCTTGTGGTATTTTTTCGTTTCACTTTAAAACGAATCTAATTTTGTTTAATGAAAAAAATGAAGTAAAATTATTCCAAAATTTCAACTTTTCTAAATTTCATCATTTAGAGGAAAACGTATACTTCCTCTGGATCTGGCATACCATTCCACCAAAGACGTTCCAGTCACCTCTCCATCCCTCAATATATGTGTATTGGGTGGATCCATAAGTTCGTTCGGTTTTCGTTAGTAGTGCGAATTGTTTTCAAATATCTTCAGTTCTCTTTGCCTTATCTGACTATATTGATACTTATAGGAATAAGCAAAGTACAACTCTTCGAAACTGTAGTGTTTGGTATCATGAACATTAATTTAGTTTATGCTACAGCGTAATGAATATGTCAAATGATAAAGTGCATTTTCGGCATTTTTAATTTAAAAAACGGCAAGCGAGCGTCGGAGATCCACCGAAAGATATATAAGGTGTACGGGAACGATGCCTTAAGAGAACGTATTGCTCAAAAATGGTTTGTCAAATTTCGTTCTGGAGATACAAGTTTCGAAGATGCACCCCGAAGCGGTCGGCCCACCGAGGTAGGTTCGAGTGATATCAAGACAGTATTAAACAAGACCGTTCGCTACAGGTAAGAGACATTGAAAAAAGGTTTTGAAACCGTTCAAAGGCATTTGAAACAGCTTGGCTACGTGTAGCGCCTTGATGTTTCTGAGTCACACAAACTGACTGAGGCAAAACTTACGTACCGAATATCAATCTGCAACTCTCTTCTGAACCGGCACGAAAAGGATCCATTCTCAATTGAATAGTGGCGGGAGACAAAGAGTGGATCATCAACGACAATGTAATGCGCAGGAGATCGTGGACAACTGCTGACGAGCCGCCTAATGTCACACCAAAGTCCGGAAAAAGATTTTGCTTTCCATATGGTGAGATTATCGCGGCGTGCTGTTTTACCAGCAGCTTCTACAAGCGACAGAAACGCCCAGAACTAGCCAATCTCAAAGATGTTGTATTCCACCACGACAACGCCAGACCACACTCCGCAATAATCACACAGCAAAAGTTAGTACAACTTGGCTGGAATGTTTTATCGTATTCATCAGTCCTGTTATTGTATATTTATTTACATCGTATATATATTTATAGTTTTATCGTATACCCACCGTATTGACCATTTGTATGTGAAAACGTATCTCGATCAGTTCTTCGCTTCTAAGTCTTAGATGTTTTACGAGAGCGGAATAAAGAAATAGTTAAAAATATGTTCAAGAGGTCAATAATAAAAACGGCAAATACATTATAGAATAAAATTTATTCTTTGTATAAAAAAACATGTTTATATATATGTAGATAGATAGACAGAGAAATCTGTCTTCCTTATTGTATCCAGGTCTTTCCATTTGAATTTCTATATTTAAAGCTTTGTCTCCGGAACTTTTTCTTTTTAAAATGGTGTAGAAGCGGATTCAGCCTCTCCTCTATGTTATTTATTAAAATATTAATGTTCGCATGTCTTATTATTATTCAAGAAGGTGTTCCGGGTAAGATAAAAAAAAATCATTTGGACCATTTCCTTGGATTATCATACGGCCAACCATCTATACCAGGGGTATCCAAACTACGCCTTTTGATATATATATATATATTTTATCAAAAGGCGTGGTCCGCGGGAGGTGTCATTGTGGCCCGAGGGCCAAAAAGTTTGAAAACCCCTGATCTAGACATACAGTATGAGTACACGTATAGTACATCGCTCGAATCAAAATTATTGAAACCTTTTTATTCCCATAAAAAGAGAACAAATCAGAGGGTGTCCCGCACGAGTTCCAGCACTAATGTGTACCTTGTGTTTCCTGTTGTACAGCTGTGGGACACGTGGCTCTGACAGCTGCTTCGTTTCGGTATATCACGGGGATTTCTAAAATAAATTCGAACCTGTTGAGATTTTTTCGGCTCCAACAGATTTCCTTCTCATAATTATGCATCACTGTTATGCTTCAACTCCATGATGTCAGTTATTTAAATAATTTTCCGAAAGATTTTATGGCTCACTGCAGGTCCCGAAGTAGGATTTTTTTCCAGGAGAGGTAAGATTAAATTTGTCGCCCATTTCTTCACCTCTCCCATCTCCACTCGCTAATAATAATATAACACATTTGAAATAAATACCAACTCATCATAACATAAACTCATTCTATTGACTAAATCGAAGTCAAAACACTCAATAAGCAGAAATAAATATTTTTTTTTATTTAATTAAAAAAAAATCCAATCATGTTTGAAATTTATTACCCCTAAATTCAGAGAAAACATCACAGCACCACCTTCGCCCCTCTCCAGTTCCAGCCCTTGTTCACTAATTAAAAGCTATTATTAGATTTTAATCACACATATTTTAAACAAATTAAATAGAAGTCAAATAAAGTTATTAATTTTCATAATATGCAAATGAGTAAAATTATTATTATTATCTGTAGAGACAGATCTGAGATGACTTGTGTCTGGCAGTGGAGAGCTACCACAGTAGATCAAGAAGAGTGGCAAAGAATTTTGGAAGAGGTTCAGGTTCCACAGGGACCATTGCGACGAGGAAGAAGAAGAATGTAAAATAATAAAATAAAACATATAATCTAACAGAAAAGGCTGGGGACAAATTCTGAACTTGGAATACAATTGAATTTTTTTTAATGGTTTTCACGTTTATTATTAAATTGGAAGCGATCACTTAAAACATATTTGATTTGGGTGGATCTCAATTACACTATCATAAGCTAGACGAAATTTCTCTTAAAATAAGTATAAGTTCCAATATCCATTTTTCCTAATATCATGAACACTATTAGTGATTTTTATTTGTTATTAGTTTTTTTACAGGACTGCAGATTTCCCTCATTTAGAAAAACTTTGTTTCTTCAATAAGCTCTAAGTCTATGTAATTATATTGAGGTACATTAAAGAATAAGCTGGAATTGGCCTCCATTTTTGTAAAACAATTTTATGATGTTGAATTCTTTCTCTGAATAGTAACTGTTCAGCAATCAGCAAAAATAATCATAATAAATAATTATAAAGCTTTTATTTCTTTGTTTCCTGTGACTTGAGGTGTATTATAATAAATTAATTTCTAAAATATATTTTCATTTTTAAAATTTATATAAAATAAAACATTTATTGTGTGTTATAACAAATGTTATTACAACAAGTTACCGATTGACTTAAAGCAATGAAATTTAATAATAATATTAAATATTGTAATGCAAAAATCTATTTTAATGACAATTTTCAAATGTTCTCCTTTACCCCGTGCAAGGCTTGCATCGGTTGCTGCAAGGACCTATGCCTTTGTCAATAAACTGTTTTTCAAAAGAGATATGTTTAAAAACTATCATCGAAAGTTTAGGCATAGAACTGATTTTTATACATATCTAAATTATGGGAAGCGATCCTTATGGAACAACATTATCAAATAAATGTTCTATTATCTATTCCTCAGGAAGCATTATGGTTGCCTTGTTGGGATAAAGCCTAAATTTTTTTAAATATTATCCAAATTTAAATTAGGGTTTTAAAATGTCATAATATTTCCACAACAAAATCTGTCAATAAAAAATTGTTTAAAGAAGATGATTTATTTTTGAATTCTTAATTATTCTTTTAACATCTCAGATTTATTCGCCATTTTGAAACATTATAATTTTCAAAACAACTATATCCTATCCTATATGTATTGTCTCCATCCACTTACTCCACAATTTATTACATAGCAATCCAGTTTGTTTTGTATACCATTCCTGCATTTTTATCTTCTGCTTTATCTTTCACATTACTAAACAAATTGACTGTTGTATTTGTTGATTTATCTCCAAATTTATATTCCGGTTAGCCATAATTTGTAAAAGTTCTATTTAAGCTATTTGACAGATTTTTTATATACATTTTTCTTAATTTACTACATTCATGATGCTTAAACTACCATTTTCACCTCCTAATTCTTTATTTAAAATTTTTTTTTTGAACTGGACTTCCAGATTTTTAAAAAATAAAAACTTTTAAATATTATTTATATATGTTATTGTTTATTTTATTAATGTTTGATCCACTTATTATTTACATAAAACTATTCTCATGTCCAAAAATCTGATTAAATTGCTTTATGTTTCTTTTGTGAATTTTTGTTTTTCGCTTCTACTGAATTTTTTTTATCATATGGGTTGTTTTTATTTAAATTATTTACACTTGGTCATAAGAAGGACCTTCAAGACTTTTATGTAACTTTCCTCCTTTTCAACTAATTTGTGCATATCATAATTAGAAAAAAAATCTGTCTCCATTATTGCTATTTATTATATTTCATCTCATTTTATGAGAAAAGGAAGATCTCAGAAGAATGAGTGTACCGTGATGGAGAACTAAAGCTTTTAGTTCGCAAAATTGTCAGAACTTTGTGGAGAACACCTATTTTAAACTGTAGAGCCATATTTACAGGTAACAATTAAGATTCAGGAAGAGTTTATGCTGTTTTATGAAACTGAAGAAATGATATTGTACTACCAGCTCTAGGGTACCAACTAGCCCTGGAGCCAGCGCCCGAAAATTGACCTCATCGCAGGCGAAGGTTTGATTATAAATTACGAAAGTGTATGTTATTCTGAGTAAAAAAAACCTTGTCTGCCGTTTCAGAACCGCTGCTTTAAAGAATATTAGACCAATAATTTGAGGATCGAAACGAGAAATCCATTGCGAAAAATGTGAGAAAAGTTTTTATTTTTTAAACTTGTATACATGGATTTAGACATGTAAAAAACAAAATTGTTAACGCAGACCACCAAGGGAAAACTTTTTACAGCCAAAAAAGTCAGATTTTTTCGATATTTTTTGGGTTTTTCATCTATAACTCCTAAATGATGCATCAAAGCGAAAAATGTATTCATTAATAAATTAAAGAACGTTAAATTTTGCGTCAAACGAGTACATAAACTTTAAAATTTGGTTACGCGGTAAGATATAAAACCACAGTCAACCAACGTTGAGTTATACCAAATTTGGCAAAAACTGAGACAAATTACTATAAATGGTCCTGTAACTTGGAATTGAGTTCCTTAAGAGGAAAAATCTACAGAATAAAAGTTGTAGAGCATCAAATTTTGCGTATTTGTGTATTTAGTTTAATAGGAATTTTGTTATTATAGAAGTATTATTGGAAGGATAAGAAAATATCATCAAGAGATATTTTAAAGTGACACAGAAAATAACTAGTCAATTGTTATATACATTATAAATAATAATTAATATCAATTAATATATAGTGAAATGATTGATGGTATCAACACCTTTCAGCCCGGAAGCTTTTTTTCCATATATATAACGATAATTACTTTAGAAAAACAGAGAAACTTCTATATGGAAAAACTACCTATATGAAACGGTGTTTAAGTGATTCTTGAAGTCCTATTAAATGTAATTAATACTTTAATATATAATTTTTTAATATTTTTGACCATAAAACATGGTTACATTTTACCATTTTGGAGGGGGGGGGCTTCAGCCCGAAAGTCCTCCCCCCTTAATCCGTCTGTGCCCTTTGGGTCTCCTTGTATATTACTAACGTCTTGATAGCTAATTTTTCTTGCCCTTTTTATATGTATCAAAGAACTTTCAACGTTCAAAAATGTACAGATTAATTGAAATCTTATTTAGCTTGATTTCTCTTAAGAAATGGCAAATAACAAATGTTAGGATAGAATGAGGTATATAAATTAAGAAGAATTTGACGAAAAATGTGATGATACTGCATCGTTCTAACCAGAATATATTTATAATGTAATTCAATAGGAAAATCTATTTATTCTATACACGTTATTTTATATTTTAATTACAAATCGCCAACAGCTGGGTATATAGGTTACAGTTCTGTTTGTAGAAAGTAAATATAAAAGCAGCCAGGATGTACATGGGAGGACTATCGTTCGAAGACGAGCTGGGCTTGGAGTGCCCCGGGAAAATCTACACCCAAGTGATGGACTTGAAGCAGTTGCCATCGGACAAGTTCAAGAACTCCAGCCACGCGGCCCACTGCATGATATATGCCCTCAACAACAGGCCGGTCTTGAAGGCTTACATGCCCAAAGCCAGTATTCTCGTAAGTCATCTAAGAGAATACATCTTTATCTTTCCTCCAAGTTCTTGAACTTTGTTTATTACATAAATAATGTAGTACTGATTGTGTTTTACACTACACTAGTTATATTTATGCTAGGAATTGAATGCTTCACATATTTTTACATTTTGAGATTAGTTTTTCACCATTACAAGGATGTTGCTTTACGTATCAAGGTTATCACAATAACACAGTAATATTATGCAATCATGATTAAACTATTATTACTATAACGAAATACCATAATAATAAGTACTCAAATCTAAGAATAGCTTTAACGGTTACAAACGTTCAAATAGTAGCTTCATAATGCATTGGGATGTAGATGAGCGCAGAACATCAGGTGACAGGCAAATATCTTAACCGAGCTAAAATATTGTTTTTATGAATTATTTAGAATGAGCTTAACTATTCTCTATTTAGTATGTTTAGGAAGGAGTTTGAATAGTGTTACGAAGTAAAGAAGGATTTATTGGGTAAGGATGTAAGGAATTAAAACATGTGAAGAAAATAGAATACGCTGTATCATCGCTAATACTGGCTCGATTCCGATGATTTTTTAGTTTATTTTGTTAATTTAATTACCTTTCAAAATTTGTATTATTAATTTAACCAAAGAATATATACTTAGCGAGTTAAGCCCCAAAACATTATTCTTAACATTATAATTTATTTCCCTGAATTTTGTGGGGAATTTAGTACATGTATGAAAATTGAAAGGACAATTATTAGAAAATTATAGGAAAGTTTAATCAAAATCGTTAGAGCCACTTTTGCGCTACAGTCAATAGAAAAATATATTTTTCACTTATTGCGCAGCCGCTGTTGACCAGGAAAATTTGTGTCACAGTCATCCGTAAAACCGTACAAAAAAACAACAAAATCGGTTCACTAGTTCTCGAGAAAATCTTGGCACAGGCAGACAGACAGACCAATGGCTAAAAATGTGTTTTTCGGACTCAGAGAGCTCTGAAACGTATAGATCCATCGAAAACCGCCTATCGGAAATTTTACCCGATCGCAATACTTTCCTTACCAAGTATAGTTAGGAAAGTAAAAATAGACAATCCGAAAATACCTAATTTATTGATTTTGTTATTTTTACAAAAAACCGACGATATATCCGTGGCACCTGTGAAAAGTGTGCTAAGTGCAATTTTATGTATTTTTATGGAAATCACAAGAAATCTAAATTTCTCTCTTTCTTTGTGTCTAATAGACCGAGTTATGGGGCTATTACAGATATGAACATTGCTTTGTGAATGATAAATTGAAACTCGAAAATTGAACTTGTACCTGTGAAAATTCCATCTTTTAATTGCGGTTTTCCAAAAGTATGATTTTTGCACTTAACAGACTATGCACACGTGCCACGGCTATTATAGATAACGACAAAATACGTATTACACATTCATTAATAATAAATACATTTATTCCATTTTTCAGATGCAGTTAAGGTTTGATGGACATTTTGGATTCCCAGGAGGTGTTGTGGAGAAAGGTATAGCCCTTTGAATGTGATTACGATTTAAAAGAGTTTTTGTATTGTTTCTACAGTAAATTAAACATTTAGTATATATTAAATGGCACTTATTTGCCATCAATGTTCTTATTTAAATAGTCACCTCTTCAGGGGAGACTCCAGAAGAAGCGGTCGCTAGAGAGATGGAAGAAGAGATGGGTATACTGCGGCACAACTTTAGAATATTTCCAGAGGTAATTATTAGATATATGTGATATTAGTGTACAAGTATATAAAAGGTGTAAGCATACTTTTCAGTTATTAATTCTGTTTTTTATAACTTTGAATATCGGTTATTTATCATTGATCATTACTTCAACAACAAACACTTCAACTCTGATTTGCAGAAAAAACGTTTTAAAATTGTATTTTAAATAAAAAAGTATTATTTTGAAGAATGTTCTAACTACAAATGGCGAGGAGTCCGTCATTTTAATGAGAACCCAAAAGCCAAAAAATACATATACCAGAAACAAATACTTTCGGGTTCGGCAAGCCTTGAAACTCAACATACCCTCTGCGTGGAATCATAGGAGCCAGCAGACAGCTGAGTCACTAGCGGATGCAAGATTTATTTTTTGGGGGGGGGGGGGGCTTAAGCCCGAAAGTTGTTTTTTTCATAAAAATAACGATAATTACTTTGGAAAAAAAGAAAGAAACTAACTACCTATATGAAATGGTGTTTAAGTGATTCCTAAAGCCCTTTTAAATGTAATTACACGAACAATAATACTTTAAGAGATACTTTTTAAATATTTTTTTTCGATAAAACATGGGTATATTTTAACATTTTGGGGGGTGGCTTCAGCCCGAAAGCCCCCCCGTAGATCCGCCCGTTAGCTGAGTGACGTATTCATCGGTCGTAAATGCAGAAGAGTATGTAACAATAGCCTATGGACTGGGGAAATACCCAAACATCTCATAACACGTCAGCGCCGTAGGATCAAATACAGAAAATTAGCTAGCTCTTACGAAGTTTGTTGTATTTACATTGATAGATCTGCGAAAGATACAGATACCTTTGCATCCCCCAATACCGAAAGGATAGAAATTGTCTTGTATCTGAGTTGGGTGAGGTAACTGATTCTGAGAAACACATAAATGGTTGAATAAAGTTTTTTTATTTTATTTTTCCAGTTGGAATTTAAATAATCGGTACGAATGTGATCATCTAAGTTCTAGGTTGTCCTTAAAGACTATTCAGTATTATAGTAGGCACTGGAATGTCGTAGGCTTATTTCGGTCACACAGCGATATATTCGAGATCAAGTACTCTGATTTTTGGAGACTGATTTGCAGGTAATCATGGTTTCTAAGAAGCCGAAAATTTGCAACAAATATCGTTCCATGCCGGTTTAATGGAAGACTGCCTCAAGAAATTTCATTACCACCGTTTTCGTCCGCCGAGGTCCTTGTATTTCTTCCGGATTTTCTCTCCTATCCGAGACCCAGTTGCATCATAATTTAGGAGAATATGGAGTTGTGGTGAGGAGAACGATGACTCACTATTTTTTTTTTCTTATAAAACAGATAGTATGATGAGATAATTCACCCGTTGACTCTCTCTCTCTCTCTCTGTTTACTTCTGTGAAATTTACAACCATCCGTCCTGATTTTCCGAAAAATACCACACAATTATTTTGGAGCCAAACATACCATGATACAAGAAAAATGTAAGATGGATGTTTTTGCTGTCCACAGAGAGGACCTTAAACATTTATGGAAATAATAAATTTTTTTGGGATAAAACATAGCACAGTAAAAAAGTATAAAACAATGATTTAGGGAACCGACCTGGAATGGACCCCAAGCTAACTGTGGAAAAAAAGTTATCTTTGAGTTTAGCCTGAGAGACCCCAAAAATACTCCGGAAATAAAAAATACAAAACAATTATTTTGGGGCAAAACATACCAAGATACTAGAAAAATATAAGACAACGTTTTTTTTTTCGGGTCGATCAGAGAGGTCCTGAATATTTAAGGAAATAAAAATAAATAAATTTTGGAGTCCACTCTAGTGGCCCATATAATAATGCTGAAATTAAAAAATTAAAAACTATTATTTTTGAGGCCAAACGTACCACGATACCAAACCAAGTTCTCTTAGGCCCTCGTAAAGGGCTTCCAATCAATCTACGGTGATAAAGAAAATACAAACAATTATTTTTGGAGACTACCTGAGGGATCCCCTTTATTTTCAAAAACAACAATTTTGAGGCCTTAACACATCACGATGTTAGAAAATGGAAGACTATGATTTCTGGGGCCTACTCGAGATTTCCCTGGCTTGAGAGCTTTGGTGATCGTCGGGTAGCCGACCTGGTTCCTATCTTTAATTTATTAATTTTTTAATCCATACTGACTGGTATGTGTATATGCATATAATTTTAACATTTGAACAGATTTAAAAAAAAATTATTTTTGAGTTTAAATAAGTTGAGTGCACCAAAAAAAAAAAAAATGAATGGGTGATTATGTGACAGTTATTTAAATGATCAAAATGAAAAAATAAAATAAATGAATAAAATATGATAATAATGCTGTCATTGAATATACATAGTCAGATATGAAAAGGAAAAAAAAAAAATGTATCTATGTTATTTCTGAAATGGGCTGATTAGTTTCCTATACAGTAAGGCAGCACTGCTGGTTAATAAAATATTTCTCTCTATATATAATTTAAATTATACTTTATTATATAGGACCACGTGGTAACCCATTACTCTGAAGATAAAGATCTGCTATTACATTTCTTCACGAAAGAGGTCAGTTTAAATCGTTTGTTGAATATTGAAGCCACAGCAGTGAAAGGAGATTACTATGGTGAAGAGGTACTATTATGTATTATCTAATCTATTAGGCATTACAATGAATTGTTAAGATTGTCATTATCAAATGATTCTTAAGCATTTGATAATGATAATCAATCACAAACAATCTTTTATTTTAATACAGGTGATGGGAATCGTGCGGATTCCATTGTACACGATGGCAGACGGATTCAGAGGATTTCCAGCTTTTCTGAATCATGGGTTCATCGGAAACTCAAAAGAGCAGCTTCTCCATGCACTAATAGCAAAACAACTATTTACACAAGAGGAGATACAAACAGCACTGGCTGCTAAACCAAAAATTATAACAAAAATAAATAAAATCAATACTTAAAATTAATGTTTGATCATATCTCTCCATTAATCCAAAGTTATTGCATGTTTGTTGGAGAACATTTTTGAAGATATTCTTTCTTTAAACTAAAAACTATTCTGTACTGTTAAGGGATGGTGGGGGGGGGGAGAGGAGGAGGGGTTGTGTGTAGTTGCCTAGCGAGAGTGGCATAGAGATTGGTCACCACCCATCTATAATATGTAGTTTTTTTGTTTGTACTTTTTAGAATTATTTTTATAATACTTTTCTAGTGTGGTGCAGATAGGCACCTAGGTGACTCAGATGCTCTCTGACCTTCGATTTTATTTGAATAAATAACAAATCATAAAGATTATTTGTTTCTGAAATTGATCAATTCAATATTTAAGATAATATTTAAGGAAGGAAAAATTCATAAAACATTTGCTTTTCCAACGATTGCATTTTTACCAACACATATCTAATACAATATGAAATTTCTGTATTTTTTCTTGTGCATACATTTCACTAAGCAGTGTCTTTTCTTCTCACTAATGTAATGGTAAATATTCATCAAGTCAGAAGAATCTTCATCTACGAAATTCAGCAATTCAGACTGAAACCATTAATCAAATCGATCTTTCATTTGGCAAAGCGTGACTAGAGCTGATATTGAGCTAAACAGAAACTTGAAAAAATAAAATATTGTTAATACATATTTTTGTATTGGATGATAGCAAGCAAAGTTTTTGTCTATTTTTTTTTTATTTTTTAAACTTATTATACTATTAAATATATAATAATAATAAGTAAACAACAGATAAAATATGCCAGCAAAGTTGAACCAAAAATTAATACATAAATAAAAAATTTCTAATTCTTGAACTTTTTTTTAAAGAAAAATTTCTTATAATTGTAACAGTATTAATTAAATAAGATAGGATCAACTTTTAATTTCCTACTTTCAAGTATTACTCATCAGTAAAGAGATATTGGATAATATAAGTGATGTATGTTTGTCTCATATATAAACATTGCATTGATAATTTAACTGACAATTAATTTATATTGGCTGAAATTATGTAATCCAAAATTATGTAATGCAGAACACATTGGCTTAAGAAAAATTATAATATTACTATGTTCATAATTTGCTGATTGTATGTCTAAATGTCTAAATGCAAGATCCTCTCATAGGATTTCTATGCAAGAGAAAATATATATATAAAATAAATAAATAAAAATACTATGATGCAATGACTAAAAATTATTGCAATTCAAAACAAAAAAGCACTGATTTAAAACAATCTAAATTAATAGGATACTTACCCCTGCATAGTTTTCTCTATTCATTAGGAATATGAGAGTCTTGTAGGCAGTGATTTGTATTGGCCTATTACACATCATTATTATTAGGCGAACAATGTCTTTCTCAGTTTTCTTCATGTTGTACCAAGGCAAGCTGTATGCCGTAAAAGCAAGTTTCTGTGCCTAATACCATAACTGATTAGCCAATATTATGTATACACACACACACACACACACACACACACACATATACATACATATATATATATATATATATATATATATATATATATATAATAATGTATGTAATATTTTCAATTTTTAAAAATTATAAAATGATTCTTATTTATTTTTCTCTATTTATATATCTCTATTCTTAGCCCTTTTCTTCAAGTTTCTTACATGCAGTGTTTTAAGGTGGCTCTCAACTTTCTGCAGCCTTCTTTTCCTTGGTCTTCCTTTTCTTCTTGTGCCATACATTGTGGAGAATAATGTACTATAGGGCATCCTGCAGTTGTATATTCTAACCACGTGATCTAACCATCCTATGTGCCTAGTTTTAACAAAATGGACTATGTTGCCGCTATTATATAATTCATATAGCTCCGAATTTTTTCGATACCTCCACACACCCTCTTCACAAACAGCTCCATAAATTCTTCTCAATATTTTTCTTCAAAAATATTCAGCATACTTATTTTGCTTGTACAAAAGGTCCATGTCTCCGCTGCATAAGTCACAACAAGGTATTATTAACGACAATAATAAGTCTTATTAAGGTCTTATATAATCTTGTCTATTTTTCTGTGACAGGAGCGATGATCGAAAAAATTTTAGGTTGGCATAGTATGTCCGGTTTCCAGCAATTCAGCAGCAATACTTCCACCCCCAGGTATGTGAATTTTTTGACACACTCGAGGTGAGACCACATACTTCAAAAACTCTGAGGGCCAGCTTCATTGTCATTGTCGGCCCCGATATACATGTATTTTGTCTTATTTTGATTTATCTCCAGCCCAACATTTTCACTTTCGGCTTTCAATATTGCAAATATTTCCTTTGCACAAAAAATCAAAAACTAATCAAACACTAGGTGAACTAAAATGAAATTTTTAGCTGGGTAAATTCTTAATTTTATACAAATTTCAAAAACCATTTATGGATCCATACTTTACGGCTTTCTTCTTTCTCTACTTTAATAACTAAAGTCATCACACTAAGATATTTACATCAACTTTATTTATATTTTTAAACATTGAAACCTTCTTTAAATTTTAAATAAATTATACTATTACTTTATACTAATCATTAAGAATATTTTTAATTAGTCTAGTTTTAATGTATACCTCTGAGATAAATTCTTCAGCAGCATTTGTCAACAGAAAGAACTGGACTATCACAAGAATAACAAAAAATCCAATGCCTAATGATTGTACAATACTGTCATTATCTTTCTGAAAAATATATCCAAGTAATATATCATTACACAAAATTTAATAAAAATATTTAAAACTATATCAACGATTTTACACAAATTTAAATGGACATAATAACAGACTTATAAGAGACATGGCCACAGCTGACATACCTCAGAACATGCGCAGGAGACTAAAAAGGCGTTGGATGAGGGATCTCCTTCCTTAGACAACCTAAGTAATTGGAACAAGTTAGGGAAGAGGTACTGCTGAGTACTTTCCTTCCCCATGCCTGTCATGTCATTATATCATTATCGCCATCACATTTGCTGATTGTCAACTTATTGTTGACAGGCACAAATATATATTTTATAGACAAAAAAAAACAAAAAAAAAAACTAGATCAAATATAAGTTTATGTAATCATAATAATGTGTTATGTGTTCGAAGTAATATGTTGAATATAAATTAATGATATGAGAAGGAGTTAATTGGGGGATGCGGTCAAATAAATACTAAATTAAAAAAAAGTTTGCTGGTCGTCTTCAGGGCTACAAAAGATTCAAAACATGGTGAAAATATATGAAAAATGAATATAAGTAGATATAAAATAAGAAGAAGTTGTCAGATACAGAAATAAAAAGATGATATCAGAGATATAGTGGGAGATAATGTAGTTAAAATATCAAGTAAAAAATTAAATAATTACTATATTTTAATTTAGTATTTATTTGACTCCTCCCCTCCCCCCCCCCCCCGATTACTTGATATTTTAACTACATTGTCACCCACTATGTCTCTGATATCATCTTTTTATTTCTGTATCTGACAACTTCTTCTTATTTTATATCTACTTATATTCATTTTTTATTTTCATCATGTTTTGTATCTTTTGTAGCCCTGAAGACGACCGTCGGCAAAAATTAAATAATTACTATATTTTAATTTAGTATTTATTTGACCGCCTCCCCTCCCCCCGATTAACTCCTTCTCATATTATATCAACGGTCAACCATCTCTACATCATTATAAATTAATGATAATGATTATTTAAATTTTCAGTTACTTGAAAGATATTCACACTTAAAATTTTCAATTGCTGGTAATCCTTGTTGAATAAATTAAATCCAGTTTTGGGATCTTTATACATTTTTAAAAAGACTTTTCATATTAATTTGTTTCATACTATTGATTTCCTATGTAACATTCTGGATTTACTATTGAATTGTGATTATTTTTGTTTTGAGCCACGGATATTTTGCTCTAGGCATTGAAATTTATCGGAAGTTTTGTTCATTCTAATAAAATTATTGGAAAATTTAATAATTTTGTATCCCCCTTTCCCTCCCACTAAAAAAAAATTGTAGTGACAACCTTGAGTTTGAATTACAATATTTCTTAATAATTCAACCATACTTTTGCAGTATAAACATTTTAAAAAGTTTCATTATTGTATAAGGAATAGGTATTTCTTACCTTAATTTGGACGAATAAGCCACAAACGACAACACCAACTATACCAACGTAGTTAGTGACACACATTGGCGAAAAAACTAATAGAAGTTCTTGTATATTTCTGTAACAATTTAAAATCGAAGTTTGCATGGGTTATTTTAACGTCTTACGTTGAATACGTACAGTGGATCAAAAAAGTACTGGCACACTACATTTTTTTTACAAATCCCAATAGGATTAAAATATTTTCCAGAAAAAATATCAAAGTGGCCTTTGAGAATTATATTTTAGAAGCAGTGAATGTTAATTATTAGCTATAGTCAAAACAAATTAATACTTTTTCTTTCAAGAAATTAGAAACGAGGAGCGACGGTAGTACAATGAAAATAATAGAAATCAGTTTTTGGTGTATATTTATCATAACGAAATGGGTAAAACCGGTGAATATTGTATCTCTTTAAAATAACACATCCTTAAATTACATTTTCAGGAGAGCCCAAAAGGTAGTTTTACAGTACAAGCTGCGCCTTCAAAATTGTTGAACATTTTGACGGGGTTTTAAATGTTTGAGGGGGCCACATTTCGACTGGGATATGATTATTCAAATTGAAAAGGGACAAGAGGAAATCGTGGAGCAAACCACTGAACTATAATTGTATATGATCTATGAACAGGAGAGAAATAAAATATCTTGGGAAGAGTGTTTATGTGCCATTGACCTACATCCTAACGGATTTAGTTACCGACAAATAGCGAATAAATTAGAAATTGGTTTTAGTAGTGGTAAACATACTCCATTCAGAGTGGGCATCAAAGTTTAATGAGAAGGCACAAAGCAATACCCATCGAATTGTTGAGCAAAATGACACGTTATCAGCCGCTGAGATAGCAGAAGAGGAATTATTTACTTCAATTATTCAATCATTTACTTCAATTACCACCTTTTGTTAGAAATATAATTATTATGACAGGTTCAAAAAAAAAAAACTTTTATTACAGAGGTGAACTGTAAACAAAAATTGAGTTTGCCAAAAAGTAATTTAATAAAGACATAGAATTCTATAAAAATGTAATCATATTCCAATCTGGTGGCCACAAATTCGTTCGGCGGAAACTTGACAGCGAGTTTCAAATACGACACGTGAGAACGTCTGTAGAACATCGAGGTGGAAATGTCCAGATTTGGAAGGGCATGTCATGGAATGGCCTTGGAAACTTAACCTTTATTGACAATATTATGAATGCCGAACAATATGTCGATATTTTGTGACATAATTTATCAAGAAGAGCTGTAAACCTGAGGGATAAATTTATCTTTCATTTATCTTCCAATAGGACTATGACACCAAGAACAAATCAAATAAAACAAAAGAATGGATTCTGTACAATGTCCCCAACCAGTTGAAAACGCCACAGTCTCCGGACATCAATGCCATAGAACATCTATAGAACATGTTGGATTTGGAAGTATGAAAAATAAAATTTCTTCAAAAATTATTTAAAAGAAACTTTGTCAGAGGAATGGCGTACAATTAGACAAGACGTAAATCAAAATTTTGTTTTGTCGATACCAATAACATTCCAGGATGCCACTGGTATAATGACAAAATATTAATAAATATCCAGTTCGTGAAATAAACCTCAAATTAAAGTGTGCCAATACTTTTTTGACCGTGTTGAATTGATTTTTCGTTTACTGATTTTTTTAATTAAGTAATTTATTAATTTTTTTTACCCAAATTATGAATTTTTCTAAATCTTTTATTAAATAAAAATGTTTAGCAAATCAATTTAAGATTCTTTTACAAAAACTTTAAGTGTGCCAATACTGTTTTGATCCACTGTATATCAATGTATACACTTAAAGGTGCGTTTGGACATTTCACAAAGTATGAGAAACACAATTATCTAACTTAAATAACAGCGACAATATGGGTACACTAAACAATTAATTTTATTTATCTTGACACCGGCAGCAGATGGAAAATATGAAAAGCAAAAATACTGGCATAGTGAAATAACCGTTTATATATTTGTTTGTCCCAAAGTTTGTGAAATGTCTTAACGAACATTAATACGTTTTATCATAATATTTTAATACATAACTATCGAAAGCACATCCAGATGAAAGGGACACAACTCAAAAAATACTGTTTTTTAGAAAACCACGTTTAAAGTTTTAAACTTTCTTAAAAATAGAAATATTGCGTTTGTTTTTTAAAAGTTTCTTTATTTTTATCAACCTCAATAACTCTAGTTTTATAAAATCCTGGAAATTCTCTGTTTTTATAAATTGTAAGAAACACATAATTTTCTGTGTCGTGCCTTTTTATATTTTGTTGAGTCCTATTTTTTTTTTTTTGTAATTGAGCCCACAGCAAGTCATTGTTTCCTATTCCAAAAGAATAAATAATTCTTGAAATTAAGGAAGTCGTTGTGACTGGATTCTACAAAATTGAAAAAATATCGATGCTTTATCTGTATCTCTCAGAACCAATTACTTAGCTTTTCAATAGCAATGTGTATGACATCTTTACCACTAGAAAAAGTTCTGTTAGTTACAATTTAAAATCGGATTTCCGGAAACACGAAACTATTAACTCTAAACCGGCTTTGGGTCGTGTCCCTTTCATTCTGAGTGTATGATATATAAATATGTACCTCTATGTAATGAATAATAGTTACATAACGATATCTTGATGGAGCTTAAGCCACAACGCTAATTTCCTATGGCCCTTATCATTATCTCCAGAACTGAAGTCTCTCTGGATGTCGTCCATGGCCGCTGAAAGGTACTGGAGGACAGCAGAGTGACTCTTGAACAAGGCCATGAAGAGGCAGTCGGTAGCGTTCTTTCTGCAACAGGAACTAATGCTGAATGCCTCCAGGAACAGAAGAAGCTCATAGACTCCTGGCTGCTTGTCGTCAAACGGGCCCTGAGTCGGTAGTGGGCGTCGAGACCTGTACGTCCCGTTGAACCAGTCACTCACTGGGACCGGGATCACATAGACGAAGATGGTCAGGAACGGCATGCATATGAGGACTTTAGCTATGGTCGGTACGAGCCTTGATTTCTTCATGAATAGAGTAAGGAAAAGTTTTTCTTGTCCGAGTTGACTGATACGCTTAGAAAATAAATCGATGTGATCAGTAATATGCTTGAGGCGTTTTTGATGGAGTAGATGGTAAATGAACACCACGATACCGATTGGGAATGAGGATAAACCAAGGCCAAGAGAGCAAAGATCCTGCAAAACAGAAAAAGTGTTATGTTTAAAGACCACACACATTTAATGTAAAGCTTTAAGTTATAAGTTAAAATAAAAAATTAACCTGCTTAATTTGTGCTTAGCAGTAATAATGTTATTGTGTACGTCACGTACGACAATGTGAAAAACAGACATTACTTAGATATTAACGCCAACTATCAATAGTATTAAAAAAATCATTCAACTACTTTAATTCTTAAAATTTAATAAGAGTTTAAGTGTAGTAGGCTATGCTGATGAATGAGTAAAAATAAATTTGAAAAAGCTCGTCCTTGAAATCGAAATTAATAACTTTCACACCAAATTCAGACTTGCAATCACATCACATTACGAAAAGTACTCAGAACTGTTAATCAGTGTCATGTGTTATGATTAGAATTGAAGTCCATATTTATTATTTTTGATATCAATAAATACAATAATTGATAATTTATTTAACATGGTCATTGTTTTCTTTGAGGCGGAATTGTTTTGACTGCGCAGAAAGGAACTGCCATTCAATCGTTCCTTTCTTGAAGAATGGACTCTCCACATCTTCTTCTGTTTTAAATTTATAAAGGGTATCTCAGGCGAATTTCGAACCAACTTTTATCATAAATCGAAAAGAAGTTGCTTGGGGATGTTCAGCCAAAAATAAAGGAATTATAAATAAATATCATTTATTTATTCTTTATTTGTTTATTTTTGACTGAACATCCCAATCAAGTTCTCTTCGATTATTCACTACAGTCAACCATCATGCCGCTATTATTTATCAGAAATGCATATTGCGGATGATCAAGTTTTCGATAGTTACTTTACTATTACAAACGATCTTTTCAAAGTGCTTTATCTTTTCTCGACGTAGCAGGAGTATACCATCTAAACATACTTTACTGAAAATTGGTAAGACGGACACGAAGGGTTAATCTGATGTGACATGTAGTTAGAAGTAAGGGTGCCTTTTTGGGAGTTTTTATAATGCAAGTTGTGGTATCAGAATTTTTGCGGGGAAGGAGGGTGCACATTCTGACGGGGTTTTGAATTTTTGCGTAGAATGAAGGAGAATGTCCCACGGGAGGTGGATATGAGATGGTCGGTGGAAAATCCTTGGAGGTTCCTCCCGCCTAAGTCCGATGGTCTCGCAGACAAACAATGAGAGGGACCCTCCAAACTTGCAGGAGGCTGTGACTAAGGATTGAACGCCCTCCTACTCACATATCTTTTGTTCACTATATACCACAAATAGTCTTGGTTCTCCCTAAGGTAAAATGCTCATATTCGGGGGTAAACTAGTCCCCCATTCGGGTGGTTTAGAAGATTCATAGTAAATGTTTAAAATTAAGGAATTATAGGGTGTGTGTAGAATTGGCATGTAAAACTATTGGGCTTGGTAACGAGAGAATCCCAAAAAGTTAATATGCTCTGTGCCGCCTGGGAAACGTCCAAGGGATAGACCGGAGCGAAGAAGGGAAGATTGCGTTAAAGATGATCTGATAGGGTTGGGTTAGGACGGCGACCGGTGTAAAGTGGACCGATAGCCGATCTAGGAGGACGAAATTCAATTAGAAATCACGAGTTCGTCACAAATAAATATAAATAAAATGTTTACAGTCTTAATTAAGTCAATATAAATTTAATATCATAATTTCAAAGAATTAACAAAAAAATTAGCAAAAATATTAATTTAAAAAACTTACTTCCAGTGTGAAAGTATATAAATTAATTCAACATATTTCCTTTACCTATAACATATTTAATAAATAATTTTGTCTATATATATTCAGGGCTACATTGTATTTTAAACCTATCATATAAATTATAACGTTTTGATAAGATTAACGAAAATAAGCCCAAAACTTTTGTTTACACTTTTAAAAATAAATTTATAAAAGCAGTACTTGACGCAAAATTTGATGACCATTTCCTAAAAGAATATAAAAAATGAAAAAAAAATTATACGGGTATTTCATAGGCCTTATAATTTTATTTATCTCAGTATAACTGTTGTTAATGTATTTCAAAGGTTTGATCATAGCCATTTTTTAAATGCTATTAAAACCAACATGGTTGACCATAAATTAATCCAGTGAAAAAGAAAGATAGTTAACTGAGTTATCAAAAGCAGTCTTAAGTAATAACACAAACTGATTTGAACTGTAAATAAAGTAATTCGGAAACTATTTGTCAACTGGTGGGACCGAATGCCTGCTCGTCCGAATCTCACTTTTCTGTACCCTACAGTTTTTAAATGAACTTAGAAATTTTATTAGGTTCCCAACTATTTACAGAAAGGATGCTATATTACATTTCTCATATTTTGAAGGTTGTTTTTGTCCTCCTAGATCGGTCCCACTGTCCGCGGTGGAGGGAGTTGTGTGGCCAGCGATTGGTGGTATCGGCATCGAATCTTTTATTAACCGGTTCGCTAAATCTTTTATTATTATTATTTGAATTTTTGAGGAGAAAGGGCAAATTTTGATGAGGCATTGAATTATCGGAATAAAAAGTTTCAAATCAGGGGACAAGAAGAAAATATGGAACAGACCACTGAAAGTGTAATCGTTTATGACCTACAATTTTTTAAATTGTACTTTCGCTTGCACTGTTTTTAAGAAGAGGAGAGTAATCAAATATCTTGAGAAGGGGGAGAAGTCTAAGCGCCACTGACCTTGGGGGGGATGGACACCCATGGTTAGAAGCTAAATGGTTAAAAGCTATGGACTGAGATATTATAAATCTATTCAAACTTGATAGATTGGATTGTTATACAAAATCGTTTACTTTATTTGAACCTTCCGTCAAAAAGTGATACTTTTATGAAACTCAATAAACGAGAATTCATTTCAGCCAATTTGTTGCTGAGACAATAAAGTTATTATAAAACAATAAAGATTAATTGAAAAATTCCCTTTATCCCTCTTACTGAATCGATGCTCAATAGATAATTTAATGCGTTCCCACGCCAACGATTTAAAGATGAAAAATCAAATTGGCTTTACAATCAAGTTATATCCAACATCTCCCGCCGTACCATTTCCACCTTAAAACGTCTAAATTACTCCCATCACCTATTTCTCCTTGAAACCCGTAGGCTCCTTGTAACTTCCTTAATTTTTCCCCACTTTGACTATTGCTGTACGGTATATGGGGGCGTCTTTGGGGATCTCGAGGCAAAATTAAAACGTTTGATAAATTGCTTTGTACGATTCAAGGGATCCCAAGGGACGCCTCTGTATCAAGTTGGCTGAAGTTTTTTTTTATTATTGAGTTTCATAAAAGTATTCCTTTTTGATGGAACGTTCAAATGGAGTAAGAGGAACGATTATGCATATCATCCTTCAAGTTTTTTTTTTAGTATCACAAAAGTAACCATACTTCATTGAATTACTAATAATTACCTGAAAAGAAACTTCATATTCGATGAGGGTGTACAGATATGCCCATGTTATGTATATACCAAAAGCTGTAAGGCAGACATCATTAAAGTAGGACAGTTTCCTTATCAATGGAGAAAGCTCCAGCCATGGCGAAGACAGACCGCAGATTCTGATACCCTTCACCAACGCTCTATACAATTGATCATATATATATATATATATATATATATATATATATATACACATACATATATATATATATATATATATATATATTCAACACATACAGATATATATTAATGTCTGTTTTCTCTAATGTAAAAATGATATATATGTTGAGGTTTAGTATGTAGTTTCAATCAATGAAAACCACATGGACTGGATCTCAAGATCTTTAAAGAATGAATATATCCCTATTTTTCAACGTTTTAGAATCTAGCCATTCTTTGATATCAAAAATTATAGATAGATAGTTAGAAAAACAACTTTATTCTGGGACAAAGTCCCTTTAGAATAACAACATTGGACAAAAAAAAAAAAAGACTACTTCTGGCCTAAAGATTTGAAACAATAAATAAAATAAAATAAAAAGAAAACCTTAAGTGAACAAGTTATATACAAAACAGATAAAACTTTGTACAAAACACTTAAAACTATGAACAAAACACTTAAAAATATAAACAAACATTAAAGCTAAATATATACAAAACAGCATAAATATACATTTTAAGAAATGAAGAACCAAAAAGAGACAAAATAAAATAACATTTTTTATAAAAAAAGAGAAAATCGAATCTGTCAATATAAACCTAATTATGTAAATGCTGGATAAAATGTAAATACATCGCAAGAAGAGCGTTATCATCAGTTATGGAAGATATGGGTTGGCGTTTAATTGTATATAAGAAAAAAAATTATATATATGGTAATTGAACAAAAATATATTAAACAAAGAAATAAATGTACTGAGTGGAGTCGTAAGTAGGAAATACATGTACTATCCCTAATAAAGAACACTATTATTGTATGATTATATGATTGCTATGCAATATATTCAATCAGTGTCAACATGTTAGACACATTTCAAAAATTCTTATCCCTACCCTCCCATCTTTTCAAATTACCTGTAAAACATCATTAAAATAATCTACCATTCACCTGAAGTTAATCAGCAGTCTACTTGTATTTTGGTTCTCAAGCCAAAATTATATACATTTTTTAATTTTTCAAATTAAGTTTAAGGCCCGTCAAAATGTTAGACACGCTCGATGGTAAAAATAAATAAAACTCATTTTAATACTTCGTGTCCTTTCCACCACCATTTATTAATTCAAAAATTCTGTTTGGTAATGAATTGTACAATTGTTTGATTGTTTCTTGAGGTAATTGTTCCCATGAAGCCAGAATTGCTGATTTCAATTCCTCGATTGTTCCGAACTGTCTTGACTCAGAATACACCCTTCTTGAAAGAGTTTTTAACCCCCAAAGATTTTCGATAATGTTCAGATCTGGGGAGACAGCAGGTCAGTCTAATTTGGCAATTTTGTTGCGAGTACACCAGTCTTTAATAATTTTTGCTGAATGTAATGGGGCGTTATCTTGCTGGAAAACTGGTGTGCCTTCAGACATGTCATTAAAAGTCAACTTTTGTTTCTCTAACAAATTTTTATATTCATCTGAGTTTATTCTTGAGGAAACAAATACCAAAGTTCTTTTCTTTTTGTAACCAATTGATACCCAAACCAACATTTTTTTTTTCATTTTTTTTTAATTCTC